GGGGGGCGGCCGCGGGTTGAGCCTGGTTGCGGAATCGGGATGTAGTCTCATTCGGAGCTTGGATGTGAGCTTCTCGTCTCGCCTTTCAAACCCTTCGACATCGACCTCGTCCACCTTCCCCACGCCCCGAATCCCTCTGCCACCACTCTGCCCCAGTCAGTGCAAATCTCGCCCCAATCACAACCCGAAGCATCTATAGCACTAGCACCTGGATGCTACTAGGAACAAGTGCATCGCTTCTAGTAACAGGTGCCTTACTAGTAGTAACAAGAAGCTATTAGTTAATTTAAGTTAATTTTAGTTTAATTCTAATAGCTTCTTGTTACTACTAGTAAGGCACCTGTTACTAGTAGCGTGGCACTTGTTACTACTTAATTTTAGTTTAATTCTAATAGACTGGTCCCGCGCTGCATCGGAGCGCGGAAATCGTTTCCCGCGCGAAACGCGCTCCGTGTCGTCTCTCCGAGCGACCAGTAGGACGCCTGGGGAACGACCGGAGCGGCGGTTCCAACGGTAGGGCGAACGGAACGGGCGGATCGGCGGATGGGCTTCAGTTCCGGAGTAAAACACGGAGAAAAGAAGACTGATCCTACTGCATCTCTACAGGTCAGGACCTCATGTTCCTGGAGTTGAGGACGTACGAACAACAGTACTCAATGAGGCACAGGACCAGGTTTGACTGGGTCCGACTGGACCTGTAGGGCCTGTAGGGTCTCTCCAACGGGCCTAGAAAGGGACTGGGCGTCGGGCCTCTTGTCTGTGCTCCAAAGTCATGCAGCTACGAATTGGCTGAACAAGAAGCACAAAACAGTGTGGACAAGAACAAACGTCTTACCCTATGCGGGATTCACCCAACGAACCGGGAATACATCAACAATGCTAGGCTTGGCATACTCTGTAAAGTGAAGTCGCTCACACTTATAATTTTACACTGTTTGGGGTCTCTTGCCAGAATACTTTTGATTTTTTTTTCTTGAGCCATCTTCAAGTGTTCAAACCACCCCCCAAAAAAGGTGTCAAAACAAGTGTTATCTCTCCACAACCCCCTCTCACCATTGATGTACACTCTTGATTCACAAAACCCCAAGCAAATTAGGATTTTAAGACCTAACTCCTGGGGGGTTCTCGTTATTAATCAAGTCTTCCATGATCGCACCTTCCAATTCGCCTGGCAGCTCCGCCCGTTGGTCTGTTTCACACTCACTTGCAGATGAGACACACCAGGCCCATGGGACACCTTTCTTCACGGTAATCTGCTGCTCCTTGTTGATGCTTCCCTGACCTGCGCATACATACATGTCCGCAGCCGGAGGTCAAGAGGTCAAGGTGCGCATGCGCCCGCAGTGTGGCACCGGGCCTCTGGGTTCGTGAACCAAGCGCACCAAATGAGAGATATTGAAGGGTGTTGGAAGTCAAACGACCGGTCGGGCGCTCGTCTCCTCACGCTTCGCCCGAAGAAGCTCGCTGAACGTTCAGAGCCCGATGTGCTCGGGGCCTTCGCCCACGTACTTCAGCTCGGTGACCTGCTCGTAGGCGCCCTGCGTCGGGCCTTCGGCGCGCGGCTTGGGCGTCCGCGGGTGCGTCACAGCAGGGTGGGAGTCGGGGGGTCCGCAGGCGGTGCTGAAGAGTGCTGAAGAGGTGCTTCGGTCGGAGGGAGAACACTGCAGCAAAGAATATAGGTGCTTAAATAGAAGGGATGGACAGGAGGAAGTGGGTGTCCATCCCATGAAAAGAGGATGGACAGCGGAGATGACACCCCAAAGAGATAGGCTTAGCTTGTGAAAGTGAAAGGTGAACACTGGTTCCTCGATGTACTAAGACCCCAAAACATGATGTCCTTGATGATACTCTTCTTAAAGGATTCCGTGTCCGGAGATCTCCACCAGGCTGTGGAAAGGTCTGGGCGCTCTTTCAAGGAGGATGGGCATCTGCTTCACGTTCCCATTGACACCACCTCCATCTCTCCCTGCATCCGATCCGCTAAACAAACCGATCCCAAAGACTCCTCTCCACTCCTTTTCACCTTCATTCCAACCACTCAATGGCTTCCTTGAAGGGAACATCTACAGTATCTACAGGAAACATGAAGTTCACCCCCCACAACAACCCATCATTTTCTATGGGTTTCGGCACGTTTTCCCTCGAACCTCCCTTTTTTTGAAGGAACCTTGCAAATTATGCCAACCACTCTTTTTGCAGCCCGCCCACGGAAAGCATCAGACCACATATAGCTATAGATCCTGCTCCTGGGGCTCCCCGGCCCACGTAGGTGTACTTGGTATCGCCCAACATGCGCTCGTCAGCACACTCGCAGGCCATCGCTTCTGTTCGTTCCGGTCGGAAGATCGATCCTCAGGGCGTTCTCCGGTGCCATGGGGGAGAGGAAAACGCCACCCCCAAAGAAACGACACTCCCGAAAACTCACATAGACCCTGACTGTCTGGCCTGGAAGAGTGTGAAATCCTCTACTTAACTCAGTGGTGTTCAATGGTTTTCAGGGTCGGCATCGTCTTCCAGGGTGTCTCTCTCGGGTCGCACCCGACGTCGGACACACTGTCGAGGAGATGGTCACCATCAGATGGTACACTGATCGTACACATCTTCACACCATGTGAGCTCCACAAGCTAAGTGAAGTCCATGATGCGGATGTGCTAGAATTTTCTGGCCAAGCGTTGCAACTCCCGCATTCGACTAGATATAGGTACAAAACCCATCAAAACCATTCACACCCCAAACTGCCCAAAACCCTGGACTAATCTATAATAACCAGTCAAGTTAGGCAAACCAGTCAGATTCAGTTGGAGGATCCAGGTCACTTTCGCCCAAAGAGGTGGACCTAAAGAAACGGTCTTCACTCGCTCCGTGGCTGGCCCCATTGCAGGCGACAGGGACCGCTGGGGATGGAGACTGCTGGTGGGACCGGGGACGATGGACAGAGACCTGGCCGATTGGTTCAAACGCGAAGACGAGAATGAAGCTCGATGAAGTGTTCTTTTAAAGCACCATCTATATTAATTATACTTTTTTGTTTTTTCTACCAGCGAAACCAAGTCAGGTGGTTTTTGGACACCTTGAATCACTTCTATATAGGTTATTTATAGACACCTCTTGAAAGGTCGTGGTAGAGGTCTACCTGGCGCGAAGCATATGATGCATTGCATCTCGATGGAACATGCGGCTCGTGCATGCGGACCACACTCACACGAGCCGAGTGTGCACCCAATCCACCAAACCCGGTCCGCAAGACCTGAATCAAACAAGACACAGCCTCAGATCGTTGTCGCCTGAATAGCAAAACAACTTCTTAAGATATCTACCTTGAACAGATCGATATAGAAGGAAAACACAAAATACAACTTGTTAAACACATCCATCTCCTGATGTTCCATCCGCCTTCCAACACCCCAACATCTCTAACCCTAAACCCGCAACAAGTCAGACCCCAGACACGTCGACCCAGACACGTCGACGCGACACGCACGAGCAGTCTCGACGACTCGTGACCAGGGTCCAGTCGTGGACGAAGAGGGGAACGGTACATACTCACCTCGTATACGATCCTCAAAAGGTACCTGGACCCTGGACTAATCTATAAAACCAGTCAAGTTAGGCAAACCAGTCAGATTAAGTTGGAGGATCCAGGTCACTTTCGCCCAGGTTGCGATGAGTTTTTCGTTTCAGGCCACGTTCGCCCCACTTCAGCGATGGGTTGAACATGCGAGACCCTTCCGTCTCGAAGCGGAGCTGACATGTGGAGGTGACGCTCGAGGTCTCGTAAACGATCCCGGTGATTCACCATCCAGCCACTCTGCCTTGAAAACTGGACAAAGAATCAACCAAATCAAGATCCTACCAGGACCCTCCTGTCGGGGTCTATTGATAGCCCCAAACAGCCATGATTCGGGGTGTCCATTAACCACGCCCTGAAAGAGATTATTAGGCTTCCTTGTTCGCATGGTTTTCGCCATCTTTCGGAAGGTCCTTTTGAGATCTCCCGTCCCTTCAACATCATCCAAATACAAGCTCTTCCCGCGGTGCAGCCTCACACCGGGGTCTACGACGCTTATACCCCACGCGCCTTAACAGCTTGCACTTACCGCCTCCGCGCGTGGTGAACCCGCACCCCCTCCCGGTCGACCAACTCGTCCGGTCGGTGGACCCCCGGACCCGGCCGAGCGTCGGCGGGTGATCAACTCGAGGTCCGTTTGAATCCGGGTGCTGTTCTCGAGCCAAGGCTTGCGCAGTCACACCCACCGACGTTGCCCAGAGGGGGAGGACGCAAGCCGTTCGACGTCGGAGGTAGAGGGAGGGAGCCCGATCCCGGCTATCGATAGCCTCTCTGACTCCTAGAGGGTGAAGGGGTGTCCAAAAACCATCCAAAAACCACGTAACTGTTGGTTCCTGGTATGCAAACTTTAGTATATATTCATAATAATTGCTGCAGGAATCCACAGATGTCAGTCATGAGATGTCATGAGTCATATCAGTCCGTCCATTTTGAGGACTTTCCAGCGCGTTTGGTGTCCTACCACTCGTCCCCAACCTTTCTGTCTCGTCCCCGACCAACCTGCTCCTCTTCGCCCCTTTGTCTTTTTGCTCCGCACAGAGACAGGCGGTTTTGTGAGGCTTGACGGCCGCGGACCCACGCCCTTCTGGACGGTTGAAGTTCGTGGCCCAAGCCCCGAAAGAAAGGGAGCAGCAATGACGGACGCGGGCGGTGACAGGCCCCAAGCCCCCGAAGAAGAATGGACGTGTGGGAAATGGTGGGAACCGGATCCGCACCCTTTAAGGGTTTGGTTCGGGTACCACCCCTTGTGAACTAGAGGCTTCGACCCCTTCTAAGGGTCCGGACTCGGATCCTTGAGGAGCCCGACCATTGGTGTGTGGAGCCCGAGCAAGACTCCGAGCGTGACGGGTGCCCCCGGCAACCGGTGTCGGACCTCCACCGAGAGCAGCACGAAACACGTTTCGGTCCGGGGCCAAAGTCCTATCACCCTATCCCAAACACGACCTGTCTGGGACTGCCAGGACGCACAGCCGCCCCAGACAGACCCCCCTGGCACCACCTCCCCAACTGATATAGGCATATTCCATACATGGAGTGTCTGGGTATCTGTTGGTGAAGGAGCCCGGAGTCTTGTGGAGAGATGATGAGATGAAGATCCGTGTCAACCAGCTTCTTCAGTTCGTGACCAAACTTTGGAGTTCTTGGACTAAGTGACTGGCCTGTGCCGGCCTACAGCTATAAGTGACCGTTTCGCAACCTGGATATATCCCGGTGGGTCACTTTGAAGAACCAGGGATCTGAACACTGCATGATGCATAGCTAGATCTAGCAGCTGTGCAACGTTCAAGCCAGCTCCCTGTAGATATGTGGATACATGTGGATACCCTCGACCTGAGCCACCTCCCCCTCGACCCGCACCAGCTTGCTCATCTTGCCAGATGGCAGACTGTCCGTTTTTTTCGACCACTCAGTTCAGACAAAAAAAGGGTCTATAGTATATAAAAGGTTACAAAGGATAAAAAAAAGGTCTAAATAAATAAATAATACACATCAATTTTCCCAGCTCTTGAAACCATGTCTACCGCACAAGTCTGATCATATCATCCCCAGTCCGCCCTTGCAGTCTGCTCCGGTTGGCGTCTTCCGACGCCCTCGTTGACACCCAGAAAGATTGACATGGAACCTGAAAATGGACCTTTGGGAATGACTCTTTTCCTCTACAACCCAATGCTATGGTTTTCATCTTGCATGTTAATCTTCCAGAGTGTATAATCTGTACACTGTACACCTCCTTCCATGATCTTCCTTCCATTCCATCCCGTTGCCGCCGCGAGAAGGGCCGGTGCCCTGCGCGCGATCGACGGAACATCGAAGAAGCAGAAAGTGCTGTGGTAGCTCAGTGGCTGACCTCCGGGCTACGGGTTGCCATGGCTCTCACAGGGTGGCATCTGCTGTCTCCCCGCTTGATGCTGACCAAAGTCCCCGACGGCGCTATACAAAGGTTGGGAGGCTTTCGGTGGCGGCGGAGTCGACTTCGCCATTGGCGGTTTGGTGCTAGCCAGAGGTCCGAAGCCCGAAATTGGACCCCAGACGCTTGAAGTGGATGATGATTGAGAGCAATTCAGGCCTGAAAAACACCACCTCTGAGTTCTTCCACGGTGGCTACTGCCACCTCTGTTGCAAATCCTGCGGCACACACTGTGTGGATATAGTAATTTATATATACTTGTTACATCTTTTTACTAACACGCATCTGTCTATGGATCCTCACAACCATCTTCTCCCCTCACAAGCATGGTGACTGATGGAAGGCTCCAATCCCAGTGATGCCACCCGTCTGGATTCTGCCGTCCTTCGTATGCCTTGGGGCCACTTCCTACACTCCCTGAGATGCTCATGGAAATTGACAATTGGTTGAGTGTACAGGTCATTCAATGAGTGTATAGATTCATCCAATATATATATATATATACTCATGAGTGTATACTAATGACCAATACTCATCCAATGAGTGTACATCCTGCATGAGTTCTTGGCAACCCCGCCTGGCATTTGCTGTGCGCGACTCTCCGCCCGACGACGTGACGACGTGTCGTGCTCCAAGCGCTGATACGGCCGCCGTCTTTGGAACTCGCCCACGGGAAGCCCCTTCGCTGAATTTTCGGAGGGTTGAAGCTGGTTTGGCCGTGGGTTTGCTTACAGTATAGGTCTATAAGGCTTCCCTTTCGTTATATGTCATTATCTGTTTGATCCTCATTGTTGGGCTTTGTTGCAGGCTTACATTGGTGTCCCCTAGTTTAATGAACTCCTCCCAATTGATTTGGCTCACCTTCTTTGGCAAAATTGTTTCCTCCAATATACAAAATAAATAAACATTGCTGCACATATCTGCACTGTATATCTTGGGTCCTATTCCTTGCAACAGTGGATGATGATGGTTAGGTTGCACGCCTTCCTCTAAAACAGTGATGCTCTATGATGCTTTTGTTGACCGATGGCTCTTGTGAAGGGTGGATCTGGGGTGATGTTGCCGGAAAACCTATCCTCTCACATCCGAGGTTCCAGTCGTCCAAAGTCTTCGAACTGATTCAAGTCAATCGCTCCTTAGGAGTTGGAGGCCATGTCTTAGATGTTCCTTTTTTTAATAATGCGGTCCATGTCTTCGAAGCTCCGCACGTGCTCTGAAGAAGTGCTCAGTCGCTGCTCGGTCCAGTCACTGAAAGTCGCTGGAAGTCCAGTCGGTCATTCTAACTGCCCTTTGGGAGAAGTCTAGAGGCTTACAAGCAGGATCCCATCTCAGTCAGGAGTAGAACCCCAACGTCAGTAGTCTACGTGTTTGTCTTCCAAACCTGAAACCAGGTTAACCATGGTTAACCAATGTTCACCAGCTATCAACATTTACCCCCTGGAAGTCTGTTCGATGCCGAAGCTTCGATCCGACCAACGACCGACCGGGTCATGTTGTTCTCACCGTCGCCTTTGTGTCGGTGTCTCTACGGTCGGGAGAACGACTGGGGAACGAACACGGAGACATCTTAGTACTTGACTGCTGGTCATACAGCCAAGAAAAGCCCAAGAACCCAAGAACCATCAGCCAACCCCCCCACGGTCTGCTATACACATCCGGTCCGCTCGGTGAGTCCCTGAAGTGAGGGAGTTGTGTTGTCCCTGTGCGCTCGCCGGCCGTGCGGTCGTCTTCGCCTGTCAGGTGTCTTCGCACTGTTTTGATCGGAAGTTTGAGCCATATTCGACCATATGTTGGGGTGGTTGGTGGTCCAGAGGTCAAACAGGTTGTCGATGGTTATTGTAGGCTCTTTTGATCAAGCCACTTTCGGGTACTCGAACTGGCTCCCTATGGCTGTCTTTCGGGTCGAAAGACTAGTAGTAGTAGAGGTCCTTGGGCCTGGGCACATGCCAGGTGCCGCGGGTGTTTCGACGTTGACGTTGAACCATGACTCATAGCGATCCGCCAAAACGCTCCGGTGCTTCAACTTGGAGCTACTGGTGGGCATCAGTATGAGGCATCGGCCGATAGCAACATCTGAAATAAATAGCGTTATTCTTTGCACTTCGTACTTCCTGGCGCTTGCACCTTTTTGTTCAAGAACGTCGTGATCAACTCTCAACTCAAGATGGAAAAGCGGTCCCAGTAGCAGTAGCAGTCACTTCATCCCTTGAAATTCCAGGTTCACATCACCCTCTTCCGCACAACTCCCAAACTCACCAGTTCAAAGTGGACGGATGAAACACTTGTGCAAAGGGGCCTGGGTGGCCAGCTGTATAGTCTTTATGCATCGGTACATCTCGCATCATCTCGCCAGAAGTCCCTTCGGCCTCTACTGTGGAGACCGGTCCTAGCGTGGCGAGGATGATGGGTCGACCGCCAGCAGAAGTGGCCGGCGAATTCGTTCTCTGCGGACAGCAGAGGACTCAGAGTTTAGCATGCGATGACAGGGTTAAAAAGGCGTCTGCACTGGCCAAGTGGCTCAAAAAAGGAAAAGACGAGTGCTTTCGCGGAAGAGAGACGTCCTTCGATCTGGGACCCGAACACCCGCTATTGGCCAAACATGGGCCGAAGTTGTGGTTTAGTAATTGTGTCTGCAAATTGCACGTGGGATGAAGATTGTCAAAGAAAGGTGTCGAATCTAACACAAGGCTTGATTCTAAAGTTGAGACGTGTGCATATTATATAACCCTCCCTCCAAATCGACAGAAGTAGGAATGTCATGGAATGTCGGCTTCCAAATCCAAAGCTCTCTTTTTGAGCCATTCTCGAAGGTTTGGTTCCAAGAACCAACGGCATGTCCGACACCTATAGGCGTCGACATTGATGTTTCAAACCCGGTGGTTCCGACCGCGGCCAGTGGACGGCGGAGGGAGTGGGCGTGGACGCCGCGGCACTGCCGGGGCTCTTGAACGACCCCGGCGGCGGTTTGATCCACTGCCACTCACACCCGACCTAGACTGACCTTCCTTAGGATCCTCCAAGATCGTGTCATTCTTAGGATCCAACCCCTGACATAGCTCCAATCAGATTCGTAGTGCACCCGCGCCGATGTCGTCGAGTCACGAGTCATGGAGGATTTCCCAGGTTGAACGTTCTAAACCTTTACTTTCGCCAGGCGGCCGACGAGGTGCCTGGTTCCGGGCAAAAGCCGCCTGTGGCCTTAGCGGTTTCTTCGCTGGCCTGCCTGCGCGGCCTTTGCTTGAGGAATTCGGAGGTGGTGATGAAACAACCAGTCTTGTCATGTTCTTTGAAGGCTAATAAATGACTCGTGGCCTTCAAACATGGCATATATAATTTCATATAATTTCAATTGGGGCAAACAGTAAACTGCCATTCATGGATGTGGACAAATCAGCCAATCGGCAAACCAGCATAATGACATGTCGGAGTATTGTCTGTTGAGCTGATTGACCTCAGTTTTCAGCCTCAATCAGCAGATGTGCCACCACTTCGCAACAAAACCACCTGGATCAACCATGATCCACCTCCAAAACATCCATCACCATCACCGGACTCGGTCCGCCCTCGATCCTCAGTAGCCCGCGACGCGGAGTTCCGCCGCGCCCACGCGGTTGGTCAGCTCGGGTGGGTCGGCTAAGGTGGTGGGAGCCGCGGGCAGCTCGTCCTGCCGGATGCCGAAGGGGGGACCTCGGGTGTGACGGTGGTTTGGAAATATTTGGAAGGGTTTCTCCCTGTGTTCTTTGCGGGTTTGGTGTCATGGCTTTTACTTGTGAATCATCATGAATCATCCCAAGTCAAGGTTGAAGTGATGTTGAAATCAAATAATATATATATATATTCAAAGAGACGTAATCAAACATATCAGAGGTACGTAATTTTAAAGGTTTGATATGCCATGGCCATGGTGTTTTTTCTTGATGGCCATGATGACCACCCTGCACGTCCATTTCGGACAACTCAACACCAGTTGTTGGTTTGACCAATTTGGACCTGCAGGACTCGATGCTCGTTGATGTTCTGCGAAGTGGGTGACTTGAAAAAGGTCAGTTTGATCTAGAAATGGTCCACACAATTGGGGTTCTAGTCTAGTTAGGGAGTCAGCTCATGGGTTTCATAGGGAACATATGAACTGTCCTATCACCACCCTGACCCACAGTCGGGTGGGTTTCTTTAACAATTTCTATGTCTTTCCAAAACTTCTCACCACCACAACGCGGGCACAAAAAAAGCGTCTTAAAATACGCAGAACGTCAAAAATTTGGTCAGTCTGTGCGGACATCTCCTGCTGCTGATCCAAGCGCAACATGCAGAAGGCTAAGAAGAAGAAGGGGATACTGACCTGGGTGGATTCGACATGATTCTACGGTCACGGCTGTATTCGGACACTGAACGCCTGCATTCGGAAACTATCCGGTTGTATTCGGAAACTGGGACGGTTGCGTTCGATAACTGAACGGTTGTATTCGGAAACTGGTGTTCGGAAGCTACAAAACCGTATTCGGAAACTGGTACGGTTGTTTTCGGACACTAATGCTCGGAAACCACGAAGAGCAACACCAGGACTATTCATATATTCATAGACCCAGAAGAAAATCACACCTCCGGTACACCAAAATCTCTGCTCCGCTTGCTTTCATGCGGTCAAGATCTGTGGAGACTGTTGAAGGAGTTGTTGTTGTCTTGAACGGTTTTCAACCACGTGTCTGACCGCACGTGATCCAGCTAACCCTTTCTTGGCACTCACTCCAATAACATCAAGAGCCCTGTGGCCACGCATGCTCCAACTTCCGTTGCTTCCGCTTCGGTTCTTGATGGCGTCGCGGGTTTAAAACATGCCTGGCGGGTCGCCAAGCGTCCACGTTGCTTTTCATCTGCTTAGTCCAGCTGTCTGCAGTCACTGGACTCACGCCCTGCCCTGAGTGGTCCATGTAAGAACGCAGCGTTTTCGGCCAATTCCTGACTCCGCTCAGTCTCAACAACGCTGTCAACTGTGGGCATTCGCATCAATAGCTCACAAATGGACAGAGCGGCCCGCTGTCGGCTTAATGTGGTGGGAGGAGCTTCTTGCGTTGTGGGTCACATGAAAACAACGCCCCACATGATGCCCTTCAGCATTGCACGTAAGTACTGTGGGCACCCTTTGTCCCTTGCTCCTCTTGAGCCCCCCATCTGCAATAAGGACTCATGTGTCAATATGTGGGACGGCTCATTGGCTTTGGGATGGGGTTCTCACAAATTACCATTACATGGAAACATAGCAAAACAACAGGAAATTGACTTCTTTGCACCGCGGAAACTGACAAGCTCAGTAGTAAGTAGTGAAAGTACTATTATAACTTACTGCTGTATACACGTTTGTCTTTTCAGGTTCTACCCGTGCCTCTTCTCGGCCTCCATGACAGTACAATTTTAACACCACCACCACCCCTTCATCCAGATCATCAACTTTCCACGCAACTACCCACCTATGTGTAGGAAGCCCCGCCCTGGGACCCCACAAATTTTACAGAATACGAGGAACATAGTTCTTGAATTTGAAAGTAGTTTCTGAATACAACGGCAATCGTTTCCGAATACAACGATAGACGTGTCGGAATACAACGAAAACAGTTTCTGAATACAACGAAATAGTTTCTGAATTCGGCGAAGTAGCTTCTGAAGACTAGTTTCTGAATGCAGCGCAGTTTCTGAATATGACTTTGTTCTGATTCTACGGCTTTATAGATGCTCAAAGAAACTTAGAAGAGACCTGCGAAGGGGGAAACGAAAGCAAGGACAAACACGCAGGGGACTCGCACCGCCATTGCACTCCTGTCTTGTCGGCGCCTAAAGCCAAAGTCATGCATTCGGTTTCGGCGACTTTGTGTGACTCATGCTCTTCTGCAAAAAGCGGAACTCAGTTTACCCTCCGCATCCTAAGCCACCATTTGTTGAACTTGTATTTCATAGATCATTTGTGTTTGGTTCTTTTTGGTTCTTTTGTTCTCAGAATTGTGACCACTCAGCTGTTTGCAGGCCTTTGCTGAACAACCTACACACATGTGCAACGGAACACAACTACTTCTGTCGAGACGGCTGTGGGAGACTCAATGCCATAAAGCCAGCGGTAACCCTGACATTGAATCAAGCTCAATTGTACAAGCCTCACACTGCCAAACATCTCAATCTGATTCCTGATGATGTTTTCAGCACATGTCTGAGTCACGTCGAATGATCAACCCACGGAACTTCGCCGCACGGAACTTCGACGCACTCAACGCGGAATGATCAATGCGCTTCTGACCCAGCGGCTACCACCATGATTGTGGCATTCATGGAGATGACCACACGCCTCAGCAATAGCACCAAGCTCCCACACAGAAACCATCAATGCTATACTTCTGCTTCTGTGGAGAGTAGGTGCGCATGACAAAGCCATGGTCCTATGCCGTGCCATGCTAGTCATCATCCACTCACCGCGGGGGGAGCTGAGACGCGGCGAGAAGCGATGTGACTGTCTGCTCCTGCAAGACATCGTGTATCAACACTAGGGCTCCTGGCCTACCTCCGTTTCGAAGATGGGCCAGGGGTGGGTTTGAGGGGTCTAACCACCTCTTGGGGGCTTCATACCTCTGTTTCGAAGATGGGCCAGGGGTGGGTTTGAGGGGTCTAACCACCTCTTGGGGGCTTCCTACCTCTGTTTCGAAGATGGGCCAGGGGTGGGTGCCAGGCGGGTCTGTTCCCACCGAACCTGAGGAGATGGGACAGGAGCCCAAACAGGCAAAGCACGAGCATGAGCGGACGGACTAGACTATGAAACAGCATGAAATAGCTATATAGGTAAAACATGGTAAAACCACCGTTGATGATGTTTAATGTCGAAAATCCTAGAAAACCGCCCAAAAAGAGGAAACACCATGTGAACAAAGATGCAAGCACCGTGTATGGATGGTGATATGAAGTTTGAGACGGTCTTTCATTGGACCGCTTATTTTGGGGCATGGATGGGCCTGAGTTGGCTATGGCTATAGCTGGACATGGGGAATTCACTAGCTGGCTGAAAGATACTGAAATTGACCCATGAATGGGGGATCCAACTCATGCAAAAGTTTAAGCTTGTCATAGCTTGTCTATGCTTCATGGTCTGATACTGACTTGGAAATCTTCGGGGGATGGCACACCATGAGGAGTTTCCTCCTCCTCCTCCTCCTCCTCCGGTGTCACTGCGATGCCATCCGCCGCCCCTGGTCATGTCTCCATGTCTGCCGCCCTTGTCACCGCCCGCGCTTTCGTGTTGTGTTCCCAGTTCACCAGGGGGGGGGGTGTCGTGTTCGGATGGGAGGACGGAAACGAAGACCTGGAGGACGCGTTCGGGAATGTCCATCTGGGTTGTGAATGATCATGATATATTAATCAGATGTATTCACATTACTACTTAGTTAGCATGATCTACTAATATATACATAATATATATATATATGATTCTTCACTAATCATGGTAACTGTAATGTGTTCTTATGTGTTCTTCTTTCTTCAAGGTTCATCATGGAATCAACTGCCTGTTAACCGACAATCCTCCACTTTCCCGACCCTTTCCCCCCTGCCACTCTTCCTGATTTCAGCATCGCCAGCGTTCAACCCGGCGCCTCTAGCTGCACCGCAATCAACGAAAGGAGCTGCACCCATCCTTCCCCATGCCCACCCTGCACGTCTGAGTCCGTCTGAGAAGGTATATAAAAACACACCTGGATCTTCCAACTATGCAACATGTCTGCCATAACTTGGCTGGTTTAATAGATGTCAACTTAGGCAGACTAGTATTTCACCTCGTTGGAAGATCCCAGGTGTGTGAAGATCTTGCCCGGTTCATGTCGTTCTTCCAGATCCAAGGTGCATAAAGTCATCCGGATCACACCGCACCATCAACTTCCCTCGTCCGCACCGCGGCAGGATGGGGCGCACTCGCCGAACAGGCGAGTTGGTGAGAAAACCGATGCACCGTTTAAGAGGGTTTTAATGAAGCCCAAGATGGGTTAAGTTGTATATTATATATATACACGCTATAGCGAGAGTTGTATATATATATATATAGTGACTATATGTGACTATATATAGTGTTGTTATCTTCCTCATAGATCTACTGAGCCAGCTTCCACAAAAAACACCTGTTAACTGCTTGGAGACGTGAAACACCCATCCATTCTCGAACCCGGGCTCCCAACATGCACATCTCCGATCAACTTCCAACATGCACTGTTGGATGTGGGTGGCAAACAAACGATCACAGTCACGCTCATCTACACATTCTCATACACTATCGTGTTAGATTAGACATTATCATCACACGACCATGCTATGTCATCCTAATTTAAGCGCATGTTGTTTAACACATCTTCGCAACACCAAAAAAACATCTGCTTACAGTAAGTCAACCACTCCACCCCTCTTGGGTATGAGCAATCTGGAAGACTCATCCCTACTAGACTGGGTCTTTCCAAAACACATCTTGATTCATCCGCGTCTCGTCTCTGAGCCTTCAGGCGTAAACGCGACGTTTCTCATCCGAACGGTCCCGTTGCGAATGTCGTTGTCTTCTCACGTGGCGACGACCGTCGCGACGAGGTGGCGACTGCCGTTGAAACGATGTGCTCTCCGTTGTTTCTGCCGGTGGAACTGGGCTCTCCGATCCCGCGTCCAGAAAGAGGATCCCAAGCAATACTGCTGAGACGCCTCGGCTGAACGTCCACGTCAGGCAGTCCGTCTCCTTCCGCCCAAACAAAGCGAGTTTGAGGCGGAAGGTGCAGCATGTCATGGTCGTTGTTGAGGCATCGTTGGGGCATGCTGTCGTTCTGACGTCCTGGACGTCTAACGACACTGGAGCCACTCATGGATTCGATCCACCTGCCAAGGCTGGATTTCACCCATGCCAACAGAGGTGGGTTGAAGGACCCGAACTACTATAGCCTATCCCAGTTCGGTACTCCAGTAAGACAGGTCTCAGTTCAGGTCACGGCTTATAACCTCTCTTGGTGTTTCTTTGTGAACTCTCTTGGAAGAGGAATCGACCCACCGCCGGTGTGGCGGGTCGAAGCGGGTACGCTTCTACAGAGCGTACGGCAGACAAGGCTGATGGAGTACTTGGCTGAAAAAAACTGGGCGAAGGAGATGGATGTCTTCCAAATGTGTTGTGGAATTCGGAATCCCAAAGTAAACATCCCGCAAACTGAGATCTTCATTTGGATGAGCTTGGAAGGATATGTTGATCATTGTTGATCCATAGTCGTCTTTTTCTAAAGGATGAATCCCAGAGCCTGTCAATCGACTGGATTTCCCGGAATGATCATCTGTCACTCCCGGACTTTGGTTCCCACCGGTCTGTTCTCCCTCCGGCGAGGGATATTCAACTTGGTCGACCACGCGAGCAGAATCACAACCCCACTTCATAACCATCACAAGCATCACAACCCCAATCCTCAAAAAAGAGAAAACACCCCATCTCATGGCCTGCGCGCCTCCACTGCCCTCCACGTCTTGCATAAGCCGTTTCCATCGGTCCCAGGTGCAGATCGCGCTAATCATCTCCAGGGGCGCCTGCTCCGAACGCACAAAGGCCTGCAGAGCCAAGGCCTGAGTGCCGGGCGCGATGTGAAGGAGGCTTGGACCATCGGAACGTGCTGAGTTTGGGTGTTTTTCTTCCTTTGTTGAAGGAGGTGGGCAGAACTTGGAAGAGAGAGGTGATGTGGTGGCAAAAGCAGTCACTGTGGGGATGATAGTTTAGAGCGGCATCAGGCGGGATTGAGCCGTTTGAGATTGGAACTGGACCGCAGAAGATTCAATAAACCCAGACATGTGGCCAGGTCAGGTTACTTTGAGTGTTCTTACGAGACCAAGCCTGTAGAAAAGAAGGGTTCATCACCGCAACCATGTTGACTCTTCATGCCGGACCCATGAACGTGTCATCGAGCCAGTCGGGTCATAGTCATCACGCACTGTCACTGTCTTTAATAATATATAGCCTACTAGTATATGCCCAATCCGCAAGAGCAATCTGCAGAATGTTCCTTGCAAGAATCTCGTCAAAGGCCTTCCAGTGGATGAGACTCGCTCTTGTACAGGTTGCGATGTATATGGAAGTCGACTCGATCGTCCAACGTTCCAACCACTCAAATACCGTCCTCATCGTAGCCACCCGTGAACCTGTCCAAAGGACCGGCGGTCCTGGGCACACTTGAGCCACAAGAGAAGCCCAAAGGTATGCAATGACCAGTTACCGGGAGGTTTGAGAACCTCGGAGTGTCTTAATTTCGACCCCCAGGATGATGTCGTGTCTGGCCCGTGGGCACCTGCCCGGCACCTGCCCTACGCACCTGCCCGGGTAGGCCACCCCGATCGAAGCACTCGGTTGGTTGGAACATCTCACTCAACGAATTCCGTCGAAGCCGAGCCTAAGAAGCCTTGGCGGGAAAGAGAAGATCCGCTGCTAGGAATCCACTTTTCGCCGAGGTGCAAGACAGGCTAGAAACCATCCAGGAAGGAAGGACAAAGCCAGGACCTCCCGCTGATGGCAGCGCGTTTGCGGGAACGCGTTCGCTGCTGCCCATCCCAGCGCGTGGAACGCGGAAAGATCGGATTGGGTATTGAGCGGCCCATGCGATGCGTCTAAAGGGCTCAATATAGGAACTCCTGGATGATGGAGGTTTAGTGAACTCGTGTCTGTGAACTCTTGGATGCAACACTTGAATACAAGAAAGAAACCACAAGAACACGCCGAAGCGTGCTTTGACCAAACTTTGGTGTTTCTACATGTTTCTACCACTGGGGATCACGCTTCATTCTGGAAACTTTGTGCCCTACAAACCATGGTGGAAAGGAATACATCTTGCAACGGGTTACCATAGGGTACCGCTATTGACCCCCCAAATCCATTGGACGTCAAAGTCTTCTTCCGTTTTACTCCAAGCATGTGGGGCTATGGCATGTTATGGCTCGATCCGCTCGATCATCCCCCGGTTGGCATGACCTAAGCCTTGGAAAAGCTTTGGCAGCGAGAATGGGACCTGGAGTCAACCTCAACCTCGCTTCCCAGCCGTTGCACCCGGCCTTGATCAGTGACTCGTTTCCCCCGCCCGTGGGGGCGCGCACAACCCACAACAAGACGAGACCGCCGCGCTCCTGGGATCCAGAGAACTTCCTCTCCATGTTGGATAAAACTCTGGAAATCACCTCACCGAATCCACGACTCCTTTGGGTCGTTTGGTCGTTTGGTCGTTGAGGCGCCGAAGTGAACCGATGAGTCGAATGGCTTCCTGTCGATCGTCGAATCGTCGGTCGCGGCGCGCACACAAACGCGCGCGCGAAGTGAAAGGAGATTGACGTCGCCGAAGAGGTCGCCGAATGAGTTCGCAACGAAAGCGCGCATGATGTATTGGCGCTCTGTTGGGGGTGTCCACTGAAATCCGCTTGAAGAAACAGGGAGGGCCAATTTGGTCCAGTAAATCCTTTAACTACTTCTTAACTCCACAATCACCTTTGCGATTGCTGCAACATGGGGTAAACTCTTGGGATGGTTTCCATATACTTAACTTACTTCTCTATATTGAAATGTGTCATTTTAATTTCCAAGAATGCACATGAATCCACTCTGCAGAGTTCGGCTAGTAGACTGAGTCCATGTCTCATGAACTCTGGATTTTGCTGTCACCCCTCTGCGGGTCGAGCACTGCACTGCACTTCGCCGGCACCTTCACTCCGAAACATCTCTGGGCTGTCGAGCATCTGTTCATTTCTGTGTGGAAGCCACGAAGAATGAGTCGATGCGACCTGTTTTGTAATCAGGGTCGGATATTCACAAAACTTAAAGTAGTCCATGTTGTCCAATGTATTGCACACCCCCTTGCCCTTCTCCCTACTAATCTGCCAAGAGGCCATGGCCATGACCATGGTGATCAAGAGAATTCCCAAGATCCTCAGGCAAAACAAACAGTTGGATTCAAAAAACATTGTTTTTTCAACATCGATTCTGAAAAACATCTGGGGCTGACAGGAATATAATGAAATAATACACTATATACTTGCAATATCTTCCAATGTGTGTCCACTTTTCTTTCATATTGCAAGAACGAACATGCACTTTCACACATTTTCATGGCAACGGCAATGGTCTCTCCCAAACATTTCTTAGGTCCTTGCTGTGAACCAGGCTGACAACACATATAAATGTGGACTGCACAATGCCTGTTTTGGGCATCCCCTTCTGGGTTCGTGTTTAGACACGGTTTTCCCCTCACATTGCTGGAAACTAAAACATGTTGAAGCTTTGCCAGTACATTGGTTGTCCATGGTGCATTAGTTTAATGATACCTAAACCTTTTGTTCTCGCATTTTTGTTGCAAATCCAGGTTTTGTGTTCTTTTGTTTTCGGAAAACAATCGTCATGTTTGCAATATTTATATACATACTTTGTTGGAAAACAATCGTAATTTATATTACATTGTTTGTGTGATTTATACTAAATGAAATGAATGCCTTAATTCATGCGTAGATTGATTTCTTGATTCAGCCGTTACAACTCCAAGGAAATTCACATTCCAGGGTTTAGTGGCAAAAACATGCGCTTAAACGGAAAAAAAAGAAAAAACTGGATATAACTGCTAAAAATTGAAAAACAATAAGTGTGCGATTCCCGCGGAAAGGATTCCATTGGCATAACAATAACGATTGGTTCAGAAAACCCACAGCATAAAACGCGGTTAGCCACAAATACCACAACAACACCAGGAGATGCAGTCACAGAAGTCGCTGTGATGTGGGCCATGATTTTGCTCAACATGTCACAGTCAAAGGTGGTTGAAACCAGGACAAACACATGTTCAAAAATTGGATGGGATCAGGGCCCAGGGCTCCAAGGATACGCTAACACACCTTGACCAAAAGGGGTGGGTTGAGCACTGCCAACTGAATTTGGTTGCCGCGATCTACGGTCATTACAAGTATTCACCAGGGAACCTGTACGAAGTGAATTTCCAAGCGCGAAGGATGTCCATGTGGCATCAAAATGCACTCTAAAATGTCAGCCTGACAGGCCTTAACAAAAAATTGCATCTTGCGTTTGTATCACTGCTGGAAGTATTTCATGCCAAGGTTCTCAAACTGCACCATTGTCATGAAGTTCTTGGTGTACGCCCTTGGCTGCACGGACTCACTGACAAAATGGTGGGAGCCACGCCATGCACGACGAGCTACGACTTGTGAACGTGGAGGGAAGCAGGCTGCTCGCAGAAGTGCCGCAGCACGGACACACGCTGCGACCCCCAGACTTCATTAAGCACCTCGAGATCTTGAAGAAAGAGCCACAGCAGCTTTCCAGCCAGAGTTGACGGCGGTAGTGTTGCTTTTGGTAGAGAAGGTCTGAACTCAGGTCATGGGCGCCCAAAACCTGCGCTCGCTCGGGTGTGAAGGACCGGACGGACCGGCCAACGTGGCCACCGGTGCAACGGGTAAGCCGGCTTGCCAACGCACCGTACCTAGACTTTTTTCCAGATCGAACAAGTTCGCCAAGGATTCGGGCCGTCGGGTTCTTCCAGATCGAACTCTGCTTCGTTGGCGCATGAATGCTGCAACTGAGCAGGAGTGGAAGAGCAGTAACACCTGCGAACAGAAGTCAGATTGAAAGAGGAAGTGGGGTGAATGATGGAAATCTATTGAATATACATCGGATCTGTGTCCTGCTCTGCTGCGTCCAACAATCTGTTCGGCGCACCGTGTCTCTTCTGTTCGATCGGTCCACCCAGCCGCAATATCGGTCCACCGTGTCTCTTCTGTTCGATCGGCCCACCCAGCTGCAATCGGTCCACCCAGCTGCACAAAGGAGGGTCATTTCTGGTCCAAGAGAGATCCCAAATGGTTGAACCCGCGTTGCAAACATCCCAAACGCTCAACCTTCAAACCATTCAGAACCAACCCCTCATGTGAGAGGTGTCACTCAGAAGGCTTGTTGGATGAAAAACGAAGGTTCGGTGCCTCTCCGTTGGCCCCGACCAGGTCTCTATCAGCTTTGTCCACAAAAGGAGCTACAAGAATGGGTGTTCGGCCTCAAGGTGAAGACTTCTTATATCTTCTCAATTCTTCTCACGGGTGTGTCCTGACCTCCTGGAAGAGCAACCAAAGCCTAGCCTTCCAAGACCAAGCTTGAGAATGAGGGCTTTGCAAAAACAAGCAAAAACAATTAAAACTGCTGGTCCGCAAAGGATGACACGCACAAAACGAGAAGTGTACACTCGACAGCCGCTTTTATGCTCGAAAATAGGAGCGTTGAACCTTGCAGGTTATGAGCCCAAAGTCGCAGGTGTAAGACCTTCCGGCAAGGGGAAGGCGGCCCTTCGCTCTCCGCAGCCATGGCCATGATGGCGAGGCGCCGCCGGCAAGCTCCAGGCGAAGGTGGAGAAGAAGACCCTGATGATCAGGGAGGCCTTCATCTACAAGAGCGGCAGCTAGAAGAGGAGCAGCTGGCGTTGGAAGATGGTGAAGAAGAAGGGGAAGAGAAGATGGAAGGTCCGAAGGGACCGCCGACCACGTTGACACCGATGACCCCACTCTTCACGCCGGAACAGCTGAAGGGACTTCATGAAGTGCAGAGCCAAGCTCCTCACTTGTATGCTCAAGTCCCGAGGCAGAGCATTTGGCAGCCTGGAATGGGAAACAGGTCGCCAGAGGAGGTGCAGAAAGAGAGACCCACGTTCCTGCCGAAAGAAGAAGGTTCAGTGGGAGTGCTTCCGCAGACGAGCACGACGACGGGGACACCATCACCGGCACTGGTGGGCGATCATGTACCAGATGACCAGCGACGTGGACGAACAAGAGAACCACGGGTACCTGAAGTACAAGAGCCTGAAAGTGACAGCGATGGGCGACAACCTCCCCAACCTAGAGAGCAATCGGTGGTTCAGATCCAAGGGAACGGGGCCTGGAGGAAGAGGTCTACATGTTCCGAGAGGCTTTGGACAAACTGGCCCACCTGGGTACATCATGCCCCATGAAGAGAGGAGGGGACCTATGCCGCATCAAGGAGGATGGCAAGTTCAGCTACATCCCTATGGCCCTGGTCCGCCGAATCCACAGGAGATGATGACCATGTTGGCGATGTTGAAACAGGAGAATCAACAACTGCAGATTCAGCAGGCAGAGCTCATGGACGCCATGAAGTACCAGAGGGCAAGCCTGGAAGCCAAAGTCCATGACCTACAACGTGAGCTGGAGCAGCAGGCTTTCAGAACGCCAGAAAGCGATGAGCCTGTGAATCGTCAGCTGGAATTGACGGTCGACGAGCCTCCGAGAGAGACAGATTTGGAGGTGGAAAGACGCCGGCTGTATGAGTTGACTCCCATGCAACAGTTCGAGCAGCTCCAATCCTTGATGGGGACGGTCACTCCGGCGCCAGCAAAGCGAGGTGGTCGGGGGCAAGGACAACGAGAGAGGTCGAGATCTCAAGGTCCGAGAACTGCACGTCAGGGAGGAGGTCAACCTGAGGGCTTGGTGGCATCTCGGGCGAAGGGCTTCGAACCGGAAGGGAGACAAGGGACCGGGAAAGGCGTGGGTCAGCCAAAGAAGAAAGCCACAGCCGAGCAGCCTGGTCGATCTTCAACTGCAAATGTTCGGGAGGAACCATCAAGAGAGCACGGTGGTGGCATGGCTGATGCGATGTCTATGCTGATCACCTACCTGGTCGACAAGGACAAGAAGCAAGAAGGACCGGAGTCGGTCAAGCCGGGGACGGCCACACTCCCAGTCCTGGCAGAGCCATCCGATACGGCTCCCATCGACCTTGCTGACTGGCTCACTATGGTGGAGCCGGCTATGACAGACCTTAGCGACTCGTCAGGCGAGTGGTGGGAGTTGGTGGTGAGCGAAGCAAGGGCTTGGTACAAACAGTACATCAAGCTTCGTCCAATTCAGCGGGCATCATCCAAGATCGAGCCGTCTGCTGAGTTGCAAAAGCCGAAGTGGGCTCGAGTGGAAAAGAGGGCCATCAGCATGCTGCTTTCTTCAGTTCCCACAACAGTGAAGGAGGAACTGGTAGCAACGAGGACTTTGTCACCGCTGGGGCTGGTGAGCAAACTCATGGTCCTCTATCAACCAGGTGGTGCTCATGAGCGCACCATCATCCTGCGGCAACTTGAAGATCCGCCAGAAGCAGGGTCGCCAAGCGAAGCCTGCATGGGGCTCCGACGCTGGATGCGCTGGCTCAGGAGGGCCACCGACATTGGCCTGAATCTCCCTGATGCGATCATCCTCATGAAGGGCATCAACAAACTCAGCAAGCGGATCCTCACTCAACAACCGGATCTGCAATTCAGATGTGCCTTGGTCAAAAACACCTTGCAGCTTGATACCATCCCCAATGAGGAGACTGTTCGGACGTATGCTGAGCATTTACTCGCTGAACTTGAACAACTCATGCACCGAGTCCGACCGTCTTCGAGCACTACGAGACCTGGAAATCAGGGAGGTGGACCATTGGCAGTAAAGGCACTACAAGGGGAAGATCGAGAGAAGAAGGGGGACTCGCCAACGACATCGGCGAAGGGTCCTTGTCGATATTTCCTCACGGAGTCTGGATGTCGAAGAGGGCAGTCGTGCAAATGGGCACATCAACTGGAGACTGGCGACAAGCAGAACCAGGAGAGAAGGTGCTTTACGTGCGGGGCCACACAACACCTGGCTCGAGACTGTCCGAGGAAAGAGACGGCAAAGAAGGGAGAAGGACCTCCATCTGGCCAGAAACCGAAGCTTCAGAAGCTGCTGGACAAAACCGGTGGTGGTGGAAATGGGACCTCGCGGAGTGAGTCGGGGGCTTCAATTTCTCCTCAAGCAGCATCCTCGCAGTCGGTGACTTCGGAGGCGGTATCGGATGCAGCGACAAGACCTGCAGACCCGATCAAGAATGTGCTTGATGAGGCGCACAAGTTGCTCAAGGGCATGAACCTCGAAGAAGAAGGGCAAGATCGTGCAACGGACCTTGGTGCGACGTGAAGAAGCTGAATCGAGCATGGGAGAAAGGTGGCCCAGAGATACGGGCAGTCAAGATAGCTCGAGTCCAACAAGGTCGAGAAGGACTTCTGGATTCTGGGGCAACGCACGCTCTGAGGCCCAAGCTCCGAGGAGAAGATCTTCAGAGATATCGCCAGGTGAGGGTGACGTTGGCTGCCGGAGGAGCACAAGACATCCGAATGACAGAAGGGGAGACGCTGGTCCACAACAGTGAGAACGTGGAGCCGATTGTACCGGCGGGAAGGCTGGTTCGTGATTTGGGATGTCGAATCGAATGGATGGGGGAAGCGTGCGGAGCATCCGGTCAAGGGCAACATTGACCTTAGGGTTGAAGCTGGATGCCCTCAAATGGACCATGATGTTGCGTTGGACCTCATCAGGGAGCTGGAGGAATCTCGGTCGAGAACGGCGTTGAGGTGCTACCGATTTGGGGAGACTCACAATGACGTCGATTGGCTGGACCGGGTGGTGGCAGATTGTCCGATCTTCGACAAGGTCCCGATCCGAATCAAGGATCGCCTGGTGGACTCTCCAGCAAGGAATCTTGAGGTCCTTGGAGTCAATCGACGCATCCGCAAGCGCTGGAAAAATGAGGGTGTCGTGGTTCATCTCTACGCTGGGAAGAATGAGGGCTACGATCTCACCAGGGCTCTCAAGGAGGCGGGCGGAGACACTACGAGATTGTTGGAGGTGGATATCCTTCGAAACCAAGGTCATGACATGTCAAAGGACGATGCAATGTATGCAGCACTGCTGAGGATTGCAATGTTGGGTTGGATTGATGCGGTGATCGGTGGACCCAACTGCAGGACCCGCAGTGAACTACGACATCATCCAGTCACGGGACTACCAGGGCCATCGAGATCGTTGGGAAGACCCTGGGGCTTGGACGAGTTGGATGAAGTGGAGAGGGCAAAGTGCCATTTGGACGATGTGCTGCTGTTGCGTATGGTGACGCTCTATGTGGTGGCAAAGCTGGGTCGAGATGCACGATTGTCCCAGGAGAAGAATTCCGCGCTGCTGCCAACGGTCAGGTTCTTGATGGAGCAGCCTGCAGCGCCTCAGCACATGCCGGAAGTGGCATCCTTCTGGAGAACCGAAGAGTGGAGGGTAATGAAAGAGCATCTCAACCTGGAC